AACATTGATATATATATATATATATTAAATTTTTATGATATCTTTAAATTTATATTTTATTCAAAAATAAAATCATTATTGTTTTTTTAAAAACACATAAAATCATATTATAACATCAACAGAGACAATTAATAAAATAAAATATTAAAATCGAGATATATCTCATTGCATTGTGCGAGTAATCTTCTAGGTTTTAAAAGAACGTTGGCTTAGTTCAAACAAAAAAATAAAATACACTTGATTCAAAAATCATTTATTTTCCTAATTCTACTTTTTATTTGCACTTGCGTGTCACGTGACTTCCTTCCCGCCATCGAGAGACTCAAAAACACCAAAAAGGTTGACCCCCTAAGCCGTTACTCCACCGGCTCTTCCCGGTAAACAAGGTCAATAGCCGGTCAATAGTATAAGTATAACGCAGAACACGAAAATCATACGCCATTCTTTTCCGACCGGCAGATATATCTCTACTCGTTTTTTCAAGTTCCCCATTTCACTTCATCATCGTCTCCGATTTCTGTCGCGACCTAGGGTTTTCTATACTCCGATGAAGGATTCCAGAGCTAGGGTTTCCGATCGATCGATATCTGGTTAACTTGTTTCTCTTGTTTTCTTAGTTCTCACAATGAGCGCCGTGAACATTACGAACGTCACGGTGTTGGACAATCCGGCGTCCTTCCTCACGCCTTTCCAGTTTGAAATATCGTACGAGTGCGTTTCGCCTCTCAAAGAAGGTAATATTTATCAACTCCTTCAAGTTTAATTATCGGGCATGCTCGTTTTCTAGAATTAGGTTCTTCTGTTTGTTGTTTCATTTAGGGTTTCATGACGTAGTCAAATGGTTTATATTGATATCTAGGGCTTGGCGAGTCTCATATAATCGATACAATTTGTCCGAATATGTTAGTAAGAAAATTGCTAGGATTTTCCTTTAATTATCAGCTTATACCAAATTATATGAGAAGAGTAGGTTAAAAATGGGGATGTATTTGTGAAGAAAGGATTATTCTGATTTGAAGGCTCGTGTAGCTTAATCATACTGGATATTAAGCAAAACGTGGAGACTTAGCTTTTGGGGCATCCTTTGTTCATCACATAATGTGGAAATATAGATAGTGAATTGGGCTTGTTTCATACGTTAAAGATTTGGCGTTGAAATTGTTAAAGATTTTGGTATTGAAATTGTTAAAATTTGGCGTTGAAATTGTTAAAGAAACCTGTTCCTCTAGGTAATTTTCTTTACACCATCATTATGCTTATGGTATTGTACACTAGTATGGGACAAGAAGCAGTGTTTATGGGTTCTTTTCTGAGATGGCAGGGTACTATTGTTCACAGTGTGTTCAGTTTTGAATTGAACATCATGTTTAATTATGATTTTGTGTCTCCTTAAATCATGAGCCTTGTGTATCTATTTCCAGTCAAGTATTGGAATGCTAGGTGGTAGTCTTCCTTCAGGATGATATTGAACTGAAAGCAATGTTTCTATTAGGCATTTGAATATGCATTCAGTTTTAAGCTTGTTTCTTTCTCAGTTGTTTGCATAGCTGCATCCTACTTTATAATTGGGATCATCATGCATGGCGGTGATTTTGTAGTGTTTAACTGATCACTGTCTATTTAAACTAAATAACAAGATTTATTACCTTAAGCTACCTGAATATGGATCTCATTTCAACTATAGGATTGGAAGTTCCCCTTTGCATTTCCAATTTTCCATACAAAAGCTCATTGTGGGAGCCTTCAAACCAGCACAAGCTGGAGGGGCTTAGTATTTTTCATTATCTAGTGTTAACTATACACATATTTTGAACATCTCTCATGTAGATTGACTCTCTTATCTGGTAACATTTTTCATAATCAATATTTGGTTATTCCACATCCACGCCCTAGTAGTTTCACGGCATAGGTCATTACCCTATATGAGCAGCAGCTCGTATTTATATGCCCAACACATTATACTTGCGGTCTGTTTGCTAGGTTCCTGCGTTAAGACTACACCAGACACACAAATTTAAAGATAAAGCCAGTATCACCACTTTTCCTAGTTGGCAGCTCCTTCCCTCCCCCCATTACCCTACACCAAAGTCATAAAAGCTATTCCTGCATCCTCTTTTCGTCTGTAGCGTGCTTTGCAAACCAATGAGGCACATGTGGTGAATCCAAGAGCAACTAGTGCAAGTCTAAATCACGAGATGCATATAAATGGAGCAGATCTGAAAAACAGTAGGAGAATAGAACTAACAAATATATTTAGAGACAGATTTCTTGATTGTCGTTGTCACTTCGTCCAACAATTATCTAATTTTAACAAATTATTAGGGTTCTAAATGGGAGTTCAGAACCTCCTGGGTTTTAGATCTCATATTGTTTGCAGTATGTATACTTACACACGAATAGAAGTGATATCGATGTATTGATGTATCTAAAGAACATACTCAACATGAACAATGTAATAACAAATCTGTCACACACCCATACATGTATCATTGACCAAATCATGCTACAAATGAGGGAACATCCACTAAAACAAGACCTAGATAAGTCATTTATTCTCCTTTCGCAATCAATAAGCACAGATAGGTATTTGCATCCACTACAGTTGTTATCTCTGTAGAGGCAGATGCCAATCTTGTTTTAGTTTCTTTTTACTTTTTCCACCAAGTATTTTCTGGATTCTGGCTATATGGCAAATATGGAGATGGCAAAATGCTTTATCTATATCTATAAAAAGGGGGGTGGGAGGTGCTTATCAATCCCTCGCAGCATAAATGTATCCATCTTTAGCAATTTGGATCAAGAATGAAAGATTGACTAGTACTTAGCATATGCATGAATACAATCCAAGAATAAGATTAATAGCAATTTAGTTCACCTTTGAAGGGTTATAGCACATGTCCTTTTCTCCATATTTACAAGACTTTGTACAAGAAAGAATTGGAAATTATCCTGTATATTCTCTTTGGAAGTGTAGTAGTCTCTCATTCTGTCTCTTTAAACTTGTCTTTCCTCATCTTGTATTGGTAGGTACTAACACTCTCACTGGTTACTATAAGGCACTTCTATTTAGCCCATGCTTTTCTCTCCTTCCAATCCTCTTTGTCATTAATCTACAAATTATGCTAATTATGAAGTATCAGAAGTCTACCAGAATTTAGATCTCATCTCCCACTCAAATATTTGTGTCGAATTGCTAGTGTTAAGCTTCATCTCATTCTCTTCCCTTTGATAGAAACTCTTAAAACATAAGCACTAGTTACACCTCATCTGCATATTTCGAAGAACATGCTACTGAACCTGGGTTCGTAGTAGAACCCAGCCTCCCAGGAGGTCAAGGGTTTCAAACCTCACCAAACCTGAGGAGTATGCATCAGGATTAAAAAAAACCTGGATACTTTATTCACTTGATCTTGTGTCATTCTTCTTAAAAAAAGCCAAACGAGCCCAGTATATCGCACCATCTTGTGCCATTCTTTATAAACAAACCAAACAAGCCTAATATATATCCCACGTCACCCAAATGTGGAGTCTAGGGGTGAGATGACAGATCTGACCTCTACCCTCATCAAGTAGAGTAGCTGTTTCAGTGAAAAGACCCCAGCTTGTTAACCAATTAACCCTTTCACATAACATTACTGAAAATATCTCCATTTTTGTGGTGATGTTCAACGTTTAATATAGTAACATAAACTGATGGAAACTTTTTATATGCAGATCTGGAATGGAAACTCATCTACGTTGGATCTGCCGAGGATGAGACTTACGACCAACTGTTAGAAAGCGTACTTGTTGGTCCCGTTAATGTTGGAAACTACCGTTTCGTTTTTCAGGTGAACCTTAAACCCATTTTAGCGAAATTACTGAATAAATGATATTGTATCTATCTTGGTTACTATCAGCAACCAACATTAAAGCCCTTGTATGACATTGTTAGGCGGACCCTCCAGACCCATCAAAGATTCGTGAAGAAGATATAATCGGAGTGACTGTACTTTTGCTAACCTGTTCTTACGTGGGTCAGGAATTTGTGCGTGTGGGTTATTATGTGAACAATGACTATGACGATGAGAAGCTAAGAGAGGAACCTCCACAAAAGGTGATGATCGATAAGGTTCAAAGAAACATATTAACAGATAAGCCGAGGGTCACAAAGTTTCCGATCAACTTTCACCCTGAAAACAATGAAAGTGGAGAGCAAGCCCCTCCACCCGTAGCAGAAACAAGTGAACAACAACCACCTAATTCACCTGGTGGAAATCCTTAGAGATAAGGCGGAACCCTAATTCTTGATGTCAAGCAATTGTCAGTTAGGTGTTGTTTGTTAAACATGGAACCTTAGTTTTGGGTTTGTTGGTTTGGCAGTAAACTGTGGGGTGATGGTTGGTGGTGGTGACATTTTAGAAATGTCTTTTGGTTGACAGCCATATGTGTAACTCTAGTGGCTTCAACTTCAATTGATGGCAAGAAATCTTTTGGGGTTTGTATGGCAAGCAGTTGGAGAAACTGAAATCCTTAAATGGTTGATCGAGTTGGAAGTAATGGGAGTAAGGGGTGTAAACGAGTCGAGTAGCAGGCTAGTCGAGCTCGGTTCAGAAAATAATATTAGGCTCAAGCTCAAATCGAGCTCGATAAACTTTTTCAAAGTTGGGCTTGAGCTTGATGCTCGTTTATGAGCTGGAATTCGAGATCAATTAACTCGTTTATTTGCTCAAACTCGATTTTATATTTTGATTATAGAATTTATAAACATATGTATGGCTCGAAAAAGTGTATGATCGAATGGTTCTGCTCGAGTCGTATTGTAAAGTTTAATCGAGCTTTTGAATGAGTCGAGTCGAACATTAATGTTACAGAGCTTGACTCGTTAAGTTAAACGAGCTTTATTTTGTGTTCGATATTGACTCAAGCTTGAGAATAATTAAGCTCGAGTAGCTCGTTAAAAGCTCTACTCATTTACACTTCTAGATCATGGTTGGATAAGACCTTTTTACTTCTTTTTTTGACCTGAAAATGAATTTTCCGAAGCTATATTATTTAGGGAATCAGGGGTACGCAAAAAGCCCCCAACCAATTCAGCCCAAAAACCACACTGAATAACCTAACACGGGCTAATCGTTGGTTTTATTGGTTTATAGTTATACAAACGGATATGGTTGGTCATGGTTTGGGCCTGATCCGTAAAACCCGACAAGCTTCCTATCTATTAAAAGCAGTGTTCTAAAAGGCTCTGCTCAATAGTCGTTGTGGCTTAAGGCTCGTGTCTGGTGTAACGTTAAGCTTGTGGCATGCCATGGCCTAATGCATGGTTTTTGTAACGCAATTTGCGATATTTGGTAGCGGTGTTCAAAAAAACCGTTAGACTGTTCAAACCGGCCGAACCAAGTCAAATCAAACCGGACAGTTTTTTGCGGTTTGGTCTGGTTTGGAAAATAGCAAAACCGGGTGATTCAGTCTGGAACCTTTTTTGGGCGGTTTGGACCAAACCGACCGCCAAATACACACACGCACACACACACACACACACATATATATATATATATATATATATATATATTATATACATACATAGAGGAGCGTTCAAATAAAAACCACTCAATTTGTACAAATCGTGAAAACCACATTTAACCAATCATAATTTTTCATTTTGTTCATTTTTTTGTAATTATGAGAGGTTGATTAACTATTTTTATTGTGGAGGGTGTTAATTATGGATATTATCATCTTCATTATTTTAATTTTAGATAAATACATGAAACAGTTTTATTAAAATTTCATTAAATATTATATGAAACAATTTCCCAAGATTAAACAATTTCATGAAAAAAATTCATAAAATTAAACAATGAAATCGACATATGATGGTGGTTTGTACGGTTTGTACAAATAAGGATGGTTTTCATTTGATCGCTCCTCTACATATATATATATATATATATATATATATATATATATAGTATTAGCAAGCCCAACTATTTTAACTTATGAGATATGACTTAAATATATCCCTAATCCCAACATAAAACCTAGCATCTAACATAATCAAATCCAAATGATTCGGCACCTAAAAATCCCTAAACCAGTAAACATATCGACACATTTGACATTGACGGTCTCCAAATTTTGAAATCCCTCAAAAACTCTATCAATCTATCGATTTTGTTAAGAACTCAAAAAATTGAAGGTTGTGAAGTCGTGAATTTTGTTACTCAATACTCACAGTGGAGTTGTAACTTTGTTAATTTCTTTGTTTCCTAATATGTATTATATATTTATTTGTTTGGACTTTGGATTGCTTGAATTTTGGACTCAAGAGCTACTTAATTATTACATTTATTTGTTTGGATATTTTGTTTTGTTAAAATGGATATTTAATCTAAAATTCTAAATTATATATGTTTTTTTTTAAGTTTAACATTTAAAGTCCATTAAATGCCCAAACCGCCTAAACCGGTCAGACCAGACCGCCTTTTCGTGGTCTGGTTTGACTGGTCTGGGAACTTGATGTCAAACGGCTCAGTTTAAAAAATTTATAAACCGTCATTACGGTTTGGTTTGTGGTCTGAGGGGTTAAACCGCCCAAATCGGACCGCGAACACCCTTAATGGTTTTTCTTACTTTATAATGTCTTGTTAGTTTTTATATATTATCGAATTTAAATTGTTAGTATCATCAATTCATTAAGTAATAGTAGAAAACAAATGTTTATATGTATAATATCATATGTGATATAGAGATTTGCCATGATAATTCACGTTCTAAAAAACGTCGTGACCTTACTGTGACTCCTAAGACTTGAGGTTTGACCTTGTTGCCACGCCATGCGTCACACCATTATAACCTTGATTGATTCCTAGTCCAATCCATGAATCAAATATAGTCTGATACCCAATATCGGAAATTCCAAAACTAGTGATCGGTCATGATTCCTGCCTCTTGGTGCTCGAATCATCAACTGTCATAGCTGGTTATGCCTCTCAAATATGTATATTATCTTGATACTTATGTCTACACAATTAAATACAAATGTGGATGATTGTAATATTTTTAAGTAGTCAAGTATTTACGGTTGATACTTGATTTTTATTTTTAATTTAGTCATAGTTTTTAACATATACTAGAAGAGTACTCGTGCAATGCAACGAAACACATCTCGATTTTAATGTTCTATTTTTATTATTTATCTCTATCGATATTATAATATGATTTTATGTGTTTTTTAAGAAAGCAATAATGAATTTATTTTTAAATAAAATATAAATTTGAAGATATCATAAAAATTTTAAAAAATATATATCAATTTTAATATCAAATCAACTATTTAAAAGTTCTCATTTTTTATGTAATTTTTTTAATTTATTTTTTTTATTGTAATTTAATTTAAGTTTAATAACGAAATAATTTATTTTTGTTTTAATAATATAACATTTAATAAAGATAATAATTAAGTATTCTGTTAGAACTCAATGATCATCTTAATTATATTTTAGATTTTTTATATTTAAAATGAGATGTTTATCATGTATTTGATTATATTTATCTGCAGTTAATTACACAAATTCAGATATGGAGCTTTAATAAGTTGTACTTATGCACAATCTACTTGTAATCTTGAGTTTTAAGTAATATACATTAATAAACAATATTTTACGCATAAAAAATGGTTTTTAAGAGTTTTTGTCAAATGTTTTATAATATAGTATAGATTTAACTTGACAAAACCAAATCAACCCATAATACAATTAGTTAAAGATGGGTTAAACGTTAATAAATGATTGAATGAATTACGAATTCTTCAATCTCAAGTAGTTGGGTGCAACCCATGTACACCACGTTTTCATCAAAAGGAAGGAGTTTGACTATAAAAACAGTATTATATTCTTATTAACGTAATTTCGATTAGTGATACACAAATACTTTCATCTACAATACTGGAATCCGGGATACCTAGGGTGACCACATGCTTTGCAGATAGCCCGGAATCACCGCATTTGAACCTCCGTTGCCATAAGTGAATTTTTATTCCTTTTTGGATTTGAATCTAGGACCTCCTGGTACCTTTAACTTTTGAAGCCAAGTTCAAACCAATCAGACACTACCCTTATGGTTGGGTTTTTTCTTTTATTTTCTATATTTATTTTCTGTTATCGTCAATTTGTTTGAATCTCATCCTGAAAATGCAGCGTGATGCACCCTCTCCTCTTCTTTCATTTAATTAATCTTGATAATAAACAATTAAATATAAAACACTAATTTAAATAAGAATACAAATATAATGATAAAATACTTAACTGCTATATAATATTTACATATTATTAGGTTATTCTGTCATTTTATTTGGCCATTTCTACGAACCATTTTATTTCATAAAAATGCATCTTATAGATTTATTCTCCAAAAGATTCTTTAAAAATAGAACGAATATTTCATCATATGTAGAGGAAAAATATGAGATTCCTCTTCCACTTGAATTTTAAGGAGAAATATGAGATTCCTTTTCCACTTGAAATCCGAGGAGAAATATGGGATTCCTCTTCCACTTGAATTTAGAGGAGAAATATGGGATTCCTTTTCCACTTGAATTTAGAGGAGCAACGGATCAAATGTGATCTCCTGTGTGAGATGCTTCAGATATAGCTTGAAGTTCTTCGATGATGGAGGTAGCTTCTTGATTATTTAACCGACCACAAAGTTGGTATTCAAGCACATATCTTCAACCTTGGGCTCGTGGACAAATGTTTGTGATTTTAGTGTCATGAAGCATTTTTGGTGTAATTGTGATTTACTTGAACTCGATTAAGGCAATGAGGCAAACATATATAAGTTAGGAGGTGCAGAGTGCGCACTTACATATGTTGCCCTTATCACCTTAGATCGCCATAAAGCGGAGGGATCGCGCCCCCTTGTGGGGTCCTAGGGCCAGCGCCCCTGGTGGGGTTCCAAGGGGTTGAGCTCCTTTTCGGATCTAAGTTCTAAACACTTAGAAATTTTACCAAGTCATGACTCTCAGAGAAAGGTCTGGTTGTGCAAGCCATCACTGAATGGTCTTCAACATACCGCTAAATCTGGTTTAGCTATCGCTGATTGCTCTTCAGCTTATCGCAAAATATGGATGTTCAGAACTCATATCCGGTTGTAACTACGCTTTGATCTTATCCGTTAACAGTTATAATAATTAACCGCCAGTAACCGTTGATCTCTCATTTAAATATGTAAAACAAGAATTTGGGTATAATATCTTGATTTTCACAGCCTTTGAAAAGATAGAGAAAACTCAAGAATTATCCGAATACGAAATTCATAAACCCAAGGCTAATAGGGTTGAATTGCTGTATTTGAAAAATGTCTTTCCTACACTATTCTTGAGTTTATCCGGTCTCTTCATCTTGTCCTAAACACAGTTCTTAACAACAAGCACTTGCAATTTTTCCACTTGCTTCACCACCGGCTTTGAGTCAATCATCCGGAAATGCAAAAAAAAAAAAAAAATCCTACTGTGAACCTCTTGGAACATGCCACTTCAGTTTTGTATATGACGTCCAAGGATTCCCATATCTCCCTTGTCCTTAGGAAGGTAGAATATATACCGTTGAGGGAATCAGAGTGTACTGAGGATATCGTTTCTGCAACTATACTCATTTGATCTCCATATTGACGAATTTTTGATGAGCGGCCACTTGGATGTGCGTAGGAGCAAACCTATCTGACCCAACTGGAGGACTTGTTGGTGACTCTTTCTTGGTGAGAACTTTGGCCACACAAAGTGTTGTCAAATAGAATAACATTTTCATTGCCAATGACAGAAGTCCAAACCCTTGAATTTCTCGGATTTCTCCATATGACAAGAGTTA